CAGGAGGTCTTGGAGAGTAAAATTAAGCAGGCAGCCGCAATAGCAGACTGACATGTCTGGTCTCACACGATGTTCTGTCAAGCTGCAGTGGTGTCATAGCACGGAAGATGCTTTCTGGATGCTGTTGTCTGCGGATGATACATCCCAGGTAAATTTGGGTTATCTGCAGCTTGCAGAGCCTACACTCAATCCAGACCCTGCTCAAGTTCCCTTAAGTCACTTGCACTTGCAGCGCCAGCATCTCCTGTGAAGTCCTGTAAATCTCCAGCCCTTGCCCAGGGCAACAGAAACACCTCCTCCAAGCTGTGGGGACGTGCACACACTCCTCACAGAGTATCAGTGCTGTCATTTACACTTCCTTCCCAATAAAACACCTGTAGGCATCCTCCTCCTGGCCCCTCGCCCTGTGGTTGTGCCCATAATCTGCAGCTTGGCTTGTGGGGAGAATCCAGCTTGCAGAGCAGAGGCACACTGCCTGCTTCAAAGCAATGTATTTGCACTTGCGGTGTGTTTTTATTAGCAGAGAGAGGGTATTGTGGGCACAGAGGATTTAGCAATGGCCAAATACAGGCAAGGAAGTTGCCTTCCTTCCGCACAGGCTGGGGCAGAGGGAAAAGCTGGGCGTAAGGCTCAGTGTGGGTCCTGTCCCTAAAGGGCGTGCTGGTCCTGTCCTAAACCGCACGGGCAGAGAGGTGCATTTGCACTGTGTCAGGGTGTGTGTGTGCGTGCACACATGGGGGTTTGCAAACTGCCTCTCACACTACCTGTGAGTAGGTAGAGGGTATGTGTGCTGCTGGTTACTGCATTGTTTGGAGTAGGTAATCATTGAATCAGAATGGTTTGGGTTGGAAGGGACATCTTAAAGGTCATCTGATTTCAAGCCCCTGCCATGGGCAGGGACACCTTCCACTAGACCAAGTTGCTCCAAGCCTCATCCAACCTGGCCTTGAACATTGCCAGGGAAGGGGCAGCCACAGCTTCTCTGGGCAACCTGTGCCACAGCCTCACCACCTTTACAGGGAAGAATTATTTCCCAATACTTCATTTAAACCTTCCCTCTTTCAGCTTAAAGCCATTCCCCTTTGTCCTGTCATTACATGCCCACAGTCCATGCTACACCAAAGGGTATCTGTGGTGCATGTGTATGTATTCATATGCATTTGCATGTATGTGGCCGTGTACATACACACCCATACACATGTGCTTGTGTTGTTGCCTGTGTTTTCCAGAGCAGAGGTTTCATCCCCCGGCCAGCAGAGGGAAGAAGCTCTGGGGGTGCTACAGGCCCCTGTGCAGGGGGTAGGATCCTCCCTGTGCACCCATATTTAGTATTTCCTCTTTTCCTTGCACGAGTGCACATGTGGGCATGAAAATAAGCATGTCCTCTCCTATCACAGCGTTTTGTGCTTCTGCCCCAAGGCGCAGAAGGAGGCTGAGTCCGGGCAGGGGAATGGTCCCACATAGGTTTCAGCACCATGGCACAGGGCACACACTGTTCCCAAGGGCATGCCTTAGGAGGATGCCATCCCCAGGACGGGACCTGGTGCTCGGCGTGGGCCAGGCCGTAGTTGTTTGTGTGTAACAGCGGGAAGTGTGTGAACGGGACAAATTTAGCAGTGAAAACACAGGCTGGTGCAGTCAGTCATTAAACGCTGGCCCATCTCGTCATCCTGCAACCACAAACAGCTTTTTTGGGGCCGGCGTCCCAGCGGAGGCTGGAGGAAATGTGGGAGGCCAGTTCCCGGTGACACCTCCGCGCGCGGCTGCCCTGCCCAACGTGCCATTGGCTGCCCCCCGCCCGGGGCTGGCGCCGGGCAGCGCTTAAATGCCTGCAGGGCCACGGCAGGGCACACAGCGCAGGGCATCCCAGCACAGGCAGCCAGCCCATCCTGTCCCAAGCACTGAGGAGACACCAGCTCGCACCACGCTCAAGGTAAAGGTTTTGGTTTTTTTGGGTTGCTCTGGCATTGCCCGGAGAGAAATGTTTGGGGAGAGAGGTTGTAGGTTTCCTTGGGAGTTTTGGTAGAAAGCAGGACACTTGTAAGCTGGGATGATGGCATTGCTTTGTAAGGGAAGAAATCAGGAGCATGGCTCTTTGCTCCAGTGTGTTTTGGGTGCAGGGTAATCACAGAATCAACAAGACTGCAAAAGACCTTTAAGATCATCAGTTCCAACCTTTACCCCAGGACTGCTAATTCTACCCCTAAACTATATCACTAAGGGCCTGATGTGCAGTGCAGTTAGTATGTCCTGTGGGGATGCAGTGCTGGGCTGCTTATAGGACTTGGAAAATGAGAGCAGAGCTGGAGGAAAGCCCCCCCTGTTTCACCTGCCTGCACAGGTAACCATGCTGCTGGGGTGCCAGACCAAGCTAGGGGATGCAGCTCTCCATGTGGTTATCTTACCAGGGGCTCCACTTTGGGCAGCAGGAGGTTCTGTGGGCTGTGGGGACCATGACAGGTGGGAGGCACAGCGCTGCAGCCCACGGTCGTATGGTGCTGCCCATCTGTGTTGCCTGCTCCCATCACTGCCCCTGATCTCAGCTGGGTGGCTGGTAACATTACTGTGGGAACAGGGAATTTGGAGGAGCTTTCCCACTCTTTAATGATGCTTAAACAAAGTATCTGCAAGAGCGTGGCTAGTTATTTAAAATCCTGAACTAAAAGAAGATGCCAGGAAGTGGCACAAGGACAAATCCTTGGCTTGTTTGATGACATGCCAGGCTGAGCACCACGTGCCAGGATGGCAAGGCTGTATCAGCTGTAAGGGCTTTGTGGAGCCAAGTTACAGCCAAGGGCATGTACCGATGTTTTGCTCTAGTTGCAAATGCTTTTCTTCCTACTGCAGCCACAGGGACCACAACTG